GGCATATCATCATCTTCTCAGTTCTGAGAAACCTTGAAAGAGCTACGATTGTTGATCGGTTCCTGAAGTCATAATTGCAGTTATAGTTATTAGACTTATCCAAGTGGGAGACTGTTGGATAAGGTGTCTAAGTCCATAACTATTTCTGGTATGTACTTCACCCGACCTGGCATGGTCCATTTGGGTTGCATGGCACCGCGCAATTGGATAGACTAAATGAGAGAAATAACACTTGTGGTTTATTAATATATTATAAGTTCTAATATATTAATAGTATTATTTGATCAAGAATTATTTTAGAATTAATTAAGTGATCAAAAGATAACTTATTAAATATATGGGTTGACTATGTAAATCATCCATAACTTGTATAGTGAGCTAAGAGGCTCCATGGATTATCAAGTTGGGTTAAACCCATAGGATGCTCCATAGATGCTCCATGGAAGTTACAACCCCATGGGTCATTGAAAGGAAGAGCCATGACACCTTAGGGTTTACATGGTGTAACCCTAGATGTGTCAACACTATATAAAGGACTCATTCTCCACCAAAATTGGCTATACATAAAGAAGTGAGGGCTACGACGATTTTTAGAGTGTTTGTATTCTCTCAAAAGTCATTCCAAAAGCATTTGGTGTTGTGTGAAGCATTTGAGGCATCACACTTGGGGTGCTAGGTTTACAAGGTTCAAGGATCATAATCAACAACAAGGTAAGTTATTCTATCTTTCATTCAAGTTAAAAATGTTCCCCATTGCTAGATAGGAATAGAACCTTGGAGTTCAACTTTGCATGATAATTAGACAAACATAGATCCAGGGTTATTAGGGTTGCATGTACACTTAGGAAGTGTTAGAATGCTCAAAACCCATCATTCATGTCTTAAACCCCTTGATGAGCTTTGTTTTGGGCAAAGTTATCCCTAAATGTCGTGCATGGATGTAAAAATTGTAGCTTCACGTGGTATCTAATCCTTAGAAGGCTAGATCTAGAGTTTCGAGCCTTAGTCTCGCTTAAAAGCATCTAAATGAGAGAAATAGTTGAAGGAACTTGACAAGTTGGTTAGGGTTCTCTTTGATATTCTGGACATTGTGCAAAATCGACAAGTTGGTGAGACAGCTCGGCGGGTTGAGTCACATTTTCCTGATTTTCTGACAACCAGAGGAACTCTTAATATGAACAAGATAGGTTGAGAACTCTTGGCCCATCTTTATTGCATGGTTCTTGTTTAATATATTGCTTTTAAGTAGGAACAAGCATTCATCTGTTTATCTTATTTCATGACTACATTCGACCATGTATTCATCTGTTGATTCATCAGTATTAGCAAAGACTTTAGGGTGGTTGCGTGTTAGCTTGGTATGTCTCGTGCTATTTATTGTGATTGGTAGATTTCAAGGAGGATGATGACTAGGTTCCTTTAGGTCGGTGGGATGGCGGTTGTCACAACTAGAAATTTTTGGTGCCTTGTAACTACAACACTTATGAAAACTATAAATCAAAAACATGAAAGCATTCATGATGCTTACTCTATAACAACAGAATTTCAATCAAACACTTCATACAAGCACTACAAATAGTCAACAAATAATTGGAAACCCTACAAGTCCTTGTTTAAGTCCATATTGGGTTAGGATTTCCTTATTGGGGCCAATGGGCCAATAAGCTTCCAATTTGACTATCTTGGGCTTAGAACTCTTAAATGGGCTCTAATTGGATCCACTTTCATTTATTTTGGGCCATATTGGGCCTATAGTGAAATAAAATACCCAAATGGACCTTATTGGGCCAAAAACAAAATTAAATAGCCCTAATAGGCCATAAAACTCATATTTTGGTGAATTTTGGGCCGTGAATTACTCTAAAAGGAACAATGGGCCAAAAACCATTAACTTGGGCTCCATATTATGGATTTAAACACAAAAGGCCCAAATCTCCATCTCTCTTCTCTACCTCTCGGCCCAAGTAGTTACAAAAAAAAAAAAAAGAAGAAGAATTTGAGAATTAAGGAGGATTAGCCACCTCCTGAATACCTATGGGATATCCAAGCAAACTTCACATGTCTCCATGCATATCCTTTCACTTCTCTCTCTCTCTCTTCTTCTTCTTCTATTACTCTCGACCGAGAGTATCACACACACACACAAAAAAAAATTACTTCACTTCAATACTCTCAAGAACAAACTACAAATTCCTTCACTTCTCCTTCCAAATTTTTGAGATCCAAGGGCTTTTCAAGGAGGATTCTTCACAAAAATCATCATCTTAGAAGCTCTTTAAGTTCGAGATCTTCCAAGAAAGGTTGCTAAAGCCGAAAATAGCAACAAACTCTTCTCTTTTCTTCTTTAAAACCGAAACTACAACTCAAGGTGAGTTTCATACCCCTTCCTTTTCGGTTTTTATGAGTATTATGGGGGAGAATACAAGAAAATGTGTAGATCTATGTGTATATGTATGCTATGTGTGAGTTGATGCATGTATGTGTGTGTTATCATGTGTTTTGTGATGATTATGTTACCAAAGAGGGGTGTAAACCCAAGATATATGACATGAGAAAGGAAACAAGCATTATCTAAGCTATCTTACACTAAACCAGTCGAGAAAACTGGTTTATAAGGTCATGATGAACATATTCTAATATAAACCCCATTTTTGGGCTTAAATTGTCAAAAACACAAAACTAGGGGTACAAATCAACAAATCACGGTTTCTTGAAGGTTAAAAGGGTCAAAACAGTTCCTACAATTATTTTTCTGAAATTTAGGAATTTCAAGGGACTTAAAATGTAAATTTTTGGCCTAATGGGCTATTTATGGGCTTTTCGGCCCAATAAGCCTCAAAAATGCTAAAATGATAAGTTGAGGGGCTAGAAATGTAATTTCCTGTAAAACAGGGGGTAATTACCATAACAAAATGTTTATAAAGGTTAAAAATTCTTTTCACTAACAAAAAGGACCAAAACTGAAAACTTTTTAGATTTTGGGCCAAAACTGTAAAAGTGTTGAAAGATGGGTTCCTAACCGAGAAACACTATTCTGGAGGGGCTGAAGCTGTCAATAAAGTAAATTTTGGGTTAAACTCGTGTTTTCATCAAATAAATATTACAAAAGTGTCAAGAAAAGGGTTGTAAGGACTAAAATGAAATTCCTTTATATAAAAAGGACTAAAAGTGTCAATTTTATAAAGGAAGGTTAGTGAAAAGGGTCAAATTCCACTTCCAAACAAATTAATTCATCAATATAAAATACAAGATCCAATACTACAGACGAAACGGAAAGCAAATACACTCTCAACAACAAATATCGTTACAAAACGAATTGATTCGGTCTCGAATCAATAGCAAAACAAAATCGTAAAACCAAAGCATTTCAATAAACACGCGATAATTATGACGAGTCAACTTACAAAATTTGGGCTTGGAAGTTTCAAATCATGCTTGTTGGGCCTTGGTAGCCCAATAACATGATCTTTGGGCCCGAAGGGAATACGCTTACGTGTTATTGGGCCTCCTATGACCCAATTCCATGTAAAAGGACTTTCAATAGTTCTAATGTGCTATTGGGCCCTAGTGGCCTATTAGTACTGCTAGTGAGGCCGAGAAGTCAAATGCGAGTTGGGCCAAGTGTCTTTCGCATTCCCGATAGCCTTGAATAACTCATGGAAATAAAGGGACTTCGTACTCTCCTATCTCCTCGGTTGTTAGGCTTATAAGAAATCAAAGTAAACATATTCAGGACGTTAAACAAGAGTAATCAGGGTGGGTAGATTAAATGAGTAGTAATGGCCGACGCCTTTAAGGATCGTTCGTAATTTGTAGTTATAAACTAGTCATTTTCTTAATGTCTGATTATAACAGCTCACAAACCCTAATTAATCCAATGCCACCCGGGTAATCAAAAACATTCGACATATCGGTATAACAACAAACAAGTCATGTATTTTACATATTGGAAAACATCAGGTTTTCCTGGGAAGTTCAACATTTTCACTTGCATGATGTATACAAAGGTTCAAGAATTATACATGTTTTGAAAATCAACAAGCATATATTTACGGATCTTCTCACTTTTTATAAACAAATACTCTTTTCAGAAAATATCAGATTTTCTGGGTTTTACAAACTACACCAAATCATTTTACCACAATATTACTTGTGAACTCACCAACATTTCATATGTTGACGTTTTTTCAAAATAACTTGTATTCTCAGGTAACAGGTAAGCCGAAGAATAAGTACCAAGTAATGTCATGGTCTTTTGCTTAGATTATCTATCGGACAATTTATGTTATGAAATTGTAATGTCTAAAACAATGTACTAGATGTAAACAATATCAGTTGTAATATTTCAATGCATGGTGATGAATTATGTTATGATTCATGTATATTCATTGTGATGGTATTCAATTTAATTCACAAGAGCCCTCGGACGTTTCCGCCGTCTGGTTCGGGGGTGTGACAGGTTGGTATCAGAGCTTTGTTTATAGTCAACTAGCATCTCTAACCACCCATTGATATGCAACTATAAACCAAAAGAGGGACTAACACAACTCTGAACAAAACAAGTAAAACATAACGCTAAAAACATCTTTGCTTGTATTAGGAAAAAGAACATAATACCGAACCAAATAAGATAATGCTAGCATCTCGGTTAAACCAGGACTGTTCCTAGTCGTATCAAGGAGTGGATGTAGCCTGATCAACTACATTTCTTCCAAGGTACAACTATCACATGTCCCGAGGAAATCATGATGACTAGGGAACCTAAAAACATACCCCTTTAACACCAAGAAGAGAACATCAGCTCAATCTATACAGTAATTGTAGAGTCATAGGAGTAATGATAGTTATTCGTATACCTCCTCTCAGTCGCTATGGAAGGGGAGCAGCAGGGCATTTAGTTTCATCAAGTCTTAGTGGCTCACGTGATGATTGAAGATGAGCCTGAAGGAGATCAAGAAGAAGCACACGACATTGGACCTGAAGCGGAATAGGATGAATACATGATAGTTGATTTCGATTATGATGAGCTGGACCAGGAGCCAGACGAAGAAAAGAGCGTAGAGGAGGCGTGTAGTGAACCTCACCAGGAGGAAGCCCCGTCAAACTTCCGCATGTTTCAAGGGGTGGATACAGACTATCTACGCTCTCTTGAGGAGGCAGTTATCAGCTTGAAACTTCAACTTATTATGACTAAGGCAAGGGTTGTGCAAGCCGAGCGAAAAGTAGAGGTAATCACCCATGTGGTGGATGAACTGGTTGAATTTCTGGTGCGTCACCTCGACAATTGAGCGTCGTCGTCATCCTTAATAATAGGACCTGCTATATAGGTTCCACTGTACGAGGGACTAGTTATACTCGTCTTTAGTACTAGTACTATGATCTATACTATATATCCCGACTCTATGTTTTAGTGCTTACACGACTCATAGAGCCGTTATGCTGTCGAACTTGTACCGCTTATGTATGCTCTTTTGAGCAAAATTTTCATGTATCAAAGTGCGGATAATAGTAATGAAAAATCTTATGTGTTTACTGTGATGTTTTAATCTGCTATGTGTTACATATCTATGATTGTATGCTAAATTGTGAAATTACTTAAGTTTGTGCCACACACCTAGTTTATAGGATCACAACCTCACAAAAACCACAGACAGTCAACATCTTTCCGTTCCATGACAGAAAGATTCCTCAACGACCCACCCGCAGAAACCCTGGGCCAACCCCACCCGAAGTCGACTCAGCTGCATTCCAAGCAGCTGTATCTGTTGCGGTCACCGCAACAATGGAACAAATTCACCAAGGGAACAATGGAGGAGTCAACGGACAAGGGACTGGAAGTTCAAACAACGGGATGAATCAAGGACCTACCAAAACATGTTCCTACAAATACTTCACCAACGCCAAACCACAGACCTTTAACGGAACTGGAGGAATGATCACCCTGAAACGATGGATCGAGAAGGTGGAATCGGTGTTCGAGATATGTGGTTGCCCTAAGGAGATGAAGGTGAAGTTTGCTGCATGCACTTTCGTTGACCAAGGGCTCACTTGGTGGAACAGACACGTGGAATCCATGACACTCCTCGAAGCCAATTCCATGCCATGGGCAGAGATGAAAGAAATGTTGATGGCCGAGTACTGCCCCGAGGCGAAATTCAGAAAATGGAACAAGAGTTATGGAATCTCACTGTCATGAACGCTAATATAGATGCATACATATCAAGGTTTAGCAAACTGTCTCTGCTGTGCCCTGGCACGATCACCTCAGATGGAAAGAAGATCGAACGATTCATCTGGGGACTGACCTCCCCGATCCAAGGGAATGTGATAGCTGCAAATCTTGAAACTTTCGACAGTACCAAGAGATTGGCCAAGAAGCTGTATGACCACAACAACAAGAAGGGTGAGAAGCCAGTGGAGGCTGAAGGTAAAAAGGAAAATGATAACAAAAAGGGGAAGAACAACAAGAGGAAGGGACACCAAGGCTCCAAATCATCCAAGAAGCAACAAACAGTGGCAGTTAATGTTACAACCACTCAAGTTCCATCCACACCACATGCTCCAGCCTCAGCTGCTCCAAGTGCCCCTAGGCCTTATTTCGGTAATCTTCCTAAGTGCAACAAGTGTGGCCTCTGTCACAATAGAGAATGCAGAGAGATGCAGTGCACCAGTTGCAATTAGAAGGGGCACACGGCGATGTGTTGCAGGACCTACCTTCCACAGAACCAACAACAAGGAAACAACAACAACAATAACCGTAGCAACAACAACACCAACAATGGCGGCAACAATGCAGGACCTAGCCACACCTGTTATGGATGTGGGAGGACTGGGCATTTCCATCGAAACTACCCCAATAACAACAATCCTGGAAACGGGGGAACCGGAAGGGTGCTGACCATAGGTCTGGGAGAAGTGGTTCAGGATCCCGCTATCGTTACTGGTACTTTCCTCCTAAACCACACTTATGCATGCATCCTATTTGATACCGGAGCAGAACGAAGTTTTATGAGCAATAAGTTTAAGCATTTGTTAAAACAACCACCCCAGAAGCTCAATGAAACCTTTACGGTAGAAATGGTCAATGGGAAAACAGAATCCACTGGGGAAATCTATATCGGATGTACCCTAGCCCTGAATCAACACATCTTTCGAATAAATTTAATGCCTGTTTCCATTAGGAGTTTCGATGTGATTATTGGCATGGACTGGTTAAGCCCCCACCATGCTGAAATTATGTGTCACGAGAAAGTTGTTCGCCTTCACTATCCAAAATATGAAACCCTAGTTATTTACGGAGACAAACGTAGCACGAACCTTCGTCTCATCTCGTGCATCCAGGCACAGAAGCATCTGCGAAAGAACGATTTGACGTTCCTGGCGCACATAGTGGATAAAACCAAGAAAGAGGTTAACGTTCAAGACATTCCTGTAGCATGTGAATTCCATGACATATTTCCTGAAGATCTTCCTGGAGTATCCCCAGAAAGACAAGTTGAATTTCGAATTGATCTTGTTCCAGGAGCTACTCCCATCGCTAAATCGCCTTACCGATTGGCTCCTGCTGAGATGCAGGAATTGTCCAGCCAACTCAGTGAACTCCTAGACAAGGGATTCATCCGACCCAGCTTCTCACCATGGGGAGCTCCAGTCCTATTTGTCAAGAAGAAGGACGAATCTTTTAGGATGTGCATTGATTACAGAGAACTGAATAAGCTCACTGTCAAAAATCGCTATCAACTCCCACGATTCGACGATCTATTTGACCAGCTCCAAGGAGCTAGTTACTTCTCTAAGATAGATCTACGATCTGGGTACCATCAACTCAAGGTCCAGGAAGAGGATATTCCCAAAACCACTTTCCGAACTCGTTACGGACATTATGAATTTGTCGTAATGCCCTTCCGTCTAACGAATGCCCCTGTCGTATTCATGGACCTAATGAATCGAATCTGCCGACAATTCCTCGACAACTTTGTTATTGTATTCATTGACGACATTCTAGTTTATTCTCGAAGCGAAGAAGAGCATGGCCAACATCTCCGACAAATCCTGGAAAACCTGCGAACTGAGAAGCTATAGGCAAAACACTCCACGTGTGAGTTCTGGCTCTATAGCGTGAACTTTTTGGGTCATGTTGTTAGTCAGGAAGGAATACATGTGGTTCCTTCTAAGGTCAAATCCATCAAAGGATGGGCATTCCCGACAACACCCACATAAATTCTCCAATTCTTAGGTCTAGCAAGTTACTATAGGAGGTTCATTCAAAACTTCTCTAAGATCGCCAAGCCACTTACCTCGCTTACACAAAAGGGCATACCATTCAAATGGATGGACAAACAAGAATTTGCATTCTGAACTCTGAAGCGAGCACTCTGCAGTGCCCCGGTACCATCACTACCAGAGGGAACGGAAGATTACAGAGTCTACTGTGACGCGTCAAATCAGGGTTTAGGTTGCGTTCTCATGCAGCGTGGAAAGGTGATAGCTTATGCATCCCAGCAACTCAAGACACACGAAGTGAATTATACAACCCACGATCTGGAAGTGGGAGAGTGGTCTTCGCCCTGAAGATTTGGAGGCATTACCTTTATGGTACGAAGTGCACCATCTTCACGGACCACAAGAGTCTCCAGCACATCTTGAATCAAAAAGAGCTGAATATGAGGCAACGAAGATCAAGTACCACCCAGGCAAGGCTAATGTGGTAGCTGATGCCTTGAGCCGGAAAGAGTACTCTAATCGTCATGTGAAAACTCTCTCAATAACCATCCAATCTCACCTAACCACTCAGATCAGGGCAGCCCAGTCAGATGCCATGAAGGCGGAAAACAAAACAAGCGAAGCGTTACGCGGGATGGAGAAGAATCTCGAGGTGAAAGAAGGTGGAGTATATTATTTCATGAACCGTATTTGGGTCCCTAAACTTGGGGGATTCAGGGAAGTAGTCATGAATAAAGCTCAAAAGATGCGATACTCCATCCATCCGGGTTCAGACAAAATGTACTTGGATATTAAACAACATTATTGGTGGCCTAACATGAAGGCAGAGATTGCCACCTATGTTAGCAAATGCCTTACTTGTGCCAAAGTAATGGTGGAATACCAGAAGTCCTCAGGGTTATTACAGCAACCAGTAATTCCCGAGTGGAAATGGGAAAGGATTATTATGGATTTTGTGACCAAGCTACCCAAGATGTCAGATGGATTGGACACTATATGGGTAATAGTTGATAGACTGACGAAATTCGCTCATTTCCTACCAATAAAAGAATCCTACAAGATGGAGAGATTGACAAGAATATACATTCGAGAAATCGTGAGACTTCACGGAGTGCCGGTGTCTATCATCTCAGATAGAGATAGTAGATTCACTTCACGTTTTTGGCAATCCCTTCATAAAGCACCGGGAACCCATCTGGACATGAGCACTGCTTATCACCCACACAATGGATGGTCAAAGCGAACGAACCATTCAGACACTTGAAGACATGCTTCACACATGTGTGATAGACTTTGGGAAGTCTTGGGATACCCACTTACCCTTAGTTGAATTCTCATACAACAATAGTTACCATTCCAACATCAAAGTTTCTCCTTTCGAGGCACTATATGGACGTAAGTGTAGATCACCGTTGTGTTGGGGTGAGGTGGGCGACACCCAGCTAGCAAGGAAACTAGCATCAGACAAGACATTAACGGGACCGGAGACCATACGTGAAACCACATAATAGATAGTTCAAATCAGAGCTCGACTACAAGCATCACGCGACTGACAAAAGAGCTACGCTGATCAACGGCGAAAGCCCTTAGAGTTTCTGGTCGGGGATCGAGTGTTGTTAAAAGTTTCTCCCTGGAAAAGGTTTATTCGTTTTGGAAAACAGGGAAAATTGAACCCCACGATACATTGGACCTTTCGAGATCCTTGCCCGAATTGGTCCAGTAGCGCACAGACTGCAGCTACCCGCTGAGCTCAGCAGCGTACACCCCCGTGTTCCATGTTTCCAACCTAAAGAAGTGTTTATCCGATGAAACACTCGTCATTCCCCTTGATGAAATTGAGATCAATGAGAATCTCCTGTTCATGGAAGAACCAATTGAAATCCTAGACAGGAAGGTGAAGCGTACTAAGCAAAGTCGCATTCCGATTGTGAAGGTACGGAGGAACGCAAAGCGTGGGCCAGAATTCACGTGGGAACGCGAAGATTAAATGAAGCAAAAGTACCCTCATCTATTCTAGCATTCTCAAATCTAGCTTTCAAAAGAATTTAGGGACGAAATTCCCTCT